GGGGGGGGGGGGGGGGGGGGGGGGGGGGGGGGGGGGGGGGGGGGAGAATTCGAAGCCATTGTTGGTTGGTTTGCCAGGGAACGATACTTCGCGTAGAGATCAACCAACGGACTGCTGCACACAAACACAGAAATATCTACTTGGGTGTGTCAGCAGGACTTACTGCACACAAGAAGCCTACTTTTCTGTGTCAGCCAGGGGTAAGACAAAGTTGCAACCCCAATGCCAAACACACGATCCACGGGCTGTACAAAGAAGCTGCTTTTCAGTGGTATGCTCTTGCCGGACGCTACGCTTAACATACCCCTTAAACAAGCCTAACAATAGAGCACGTAAAATGTACACGAACACGTAGTATGCCGCTGAGGTGGTATCGCAGGGAGCTCAGTGACAAAGTCGTAGGTAGCCTACTGTGTGAACCTGCTTTTGAAATAAGTGTCCAGCGGAAGTGTATTCTAGCTTGCTGTAATGACGGAGGACGGACGGATATCAATACTAATATTGCAACTGAGGAGTGGCAATGCGTACGAGCCCAAGCAAATATCGCACCTTCTTGTTCTTCTTAGCAGCTTGTTGGGCCTTCTTCCCCCTTTGCTCCTTGCCCTCCATCTCCTCCCACAGCTTGTCCTGTAGAAGAGCGACAGCAGCAAGCGAGTCGCACCATCGGCAAAACAATACCACGCGCAGATCAACCAGCAGCAGTGCAACCTCTACACACAAAACCCAGAGCTAAAAAACAAAGCACCATCACGACCGTGTTCATAGGCCGAGACTGACCAAGCCAGGAGCGAAACAAAGGGTCGAAATTGCCATCCCTGCAACGGGTGAGAGTGTAGCAGTAAATTGATGAGACTTAAACGGTCGAGAAGTGTTGCCCCAAGTACACACAGCAGTGTGCGCTTCCAAAGAAACACTTTGCCCCCCACCCTCCACAAACAGGAGCGGACAGAGTCACAACGTTGACGCACACGCACACCGGGGGTTGGGCGCAACGTCTCTGTTTACTGCTTGTTCTTTTCCCATCCGTCTTGTGTCACACCTACATACTGCTGTAGGCCGAAGGCACTCTAGGACATCTACCGGAGCATTCGTGCATGCGAGCTAGACCGTGTTTTCACCACACACAGCAGCAGCAGCACTAGCTCGAGCAACATTAGCACTAGCAGCAGCGGCATTTAGGAGCTCTGCTTACCTGGTAGGCGAGGTGAAAGACGGTACAATCGCAGCTGCCGCAGACGTGGCAGTTGCACTCCGCGCAGAAGGTGGCACTGCTGCCGTGCCTGCTGAAGGACCCCCGACAGATCGCGCACGTCACGAAGTAACGCGCCCACACGCGGTTGGCCCTACGGTGACGTCAAGAGGACGACGAAAGGTCCAACCGCAGCAGGGGGACGCAGACAGCCGACCCGAGTACCCATGGGGAAAGGGAGGGAATGCGTGAATCAGCGCGGTGGTATATACGTGTGCTCGCGAAAGCATCCACCAGTGAACAGCACCCTTCTTGCAAAGAACAAGAACAATCCTGCCCTAAAATGACCGACTTGACGCCGTAGCAGCTACCAAGCATCAACAGGAGTAGATCAGCCGAGACGAGATATATAGAGTGGGGGCGACGAGCGACCTCGAACATAGAGCGGCCACTATTATACATGAAGGGAAAACACAAGAAGTAATAGAGTTAGAAGTCGGTGGGGCCGGGGTGAGAGGGTGAGAGACGGCAAGTGCGAGGTGCCTGAAGGAACGGCAACGGACGACCGGCAACGCAATTTTATCTTGGTGTTACAAAAAACAAGAACACAACCCTCCGGGTGCATGCTGCAAACCCGATTGAACTCCCATCGATTGCCTCCCAAGGAGATAGATACTGTCATACTCCCTCTGTCACATAAGTAAAGTCCGTTATGATTACACGGCCATTTAGCCGTGTCCGATGTCTTAGGCGATACTTTTTTTGAAATCTTGAGCGTTTTTCGGGTTGAAACCCATATATATATTTTTTCTTGCGCACTACCCTGCATGCACTAGCGGCTTACAAAAAAGTAGTCAGGCCAAAAAAGGCCGTATTTTGCCCCTTTCCATGAGGGTGGGGGTGGGGGCACGAAACGAAACATACCAAAAAAAGACAAGAATTATCCCGAACCCTAAACCCAAGGTTACCTCTACTGAATGATCCATTTCGCGTCCTCCCATACAAAAACCAACATAGTAGTGAACCCACACTAAAATCAAGACATTTTCGAGGCCCACACTAAAACCAAGACACTTGGGGGCCTAGAAAGCCCTTGGGTACCCTTTCTTTGCCCGGCGGAATCGCCAACGCTATCTCCACCGCCATGGCGTACCGACGACCCAACGATACTTCCGCACCCCGCTTACGACGTGGGGGTGTCTGGGCGTCGTCCCCCATGATAGCTACGTCGTTGTGGTGGTAGTGGGTGCTCACACAGCACAAAGCTGCAAATATTCTTCAAAATATTCTCAAAATGTTTTCAAAATATTCGCAAAATATTCGCAAAATAGTCCCGTATTTGACACACTAATTCTCAGTAATTGTGAGTCGGATTTTTTTTTGTTTTTTAAGTTATGTGCGTAACAAGCGCTTTCCAACAAACCTAACTAGAGCTTCAGGAACACCTTGGCTGGTGAGGTATGTGTATTCCCCCATAACGGACTTTACTTACGTGACAGAGGAAGTAGATCGCTATCTTTTGGGGAAATATGAATTAGAGGACTACTTGTACCTCGAAACAAAAACTTGCCAAAGAAGCACATCTACGACGAGGGGAATCTACGACAACGCGAATCCACAAGTGAAGAATGGGGGAATCCTGCGATCAAGTCCAGACGCAGAACAGCCGACTTACTTGGCGTACTACAGCAGTAAAGGCAACAGTCCACCCACCACCAGCACCAAGAAAAAAAAAGCACGTGCGTGCCATCAACGAATCCGAAACGTAAAACGTAGAAGGAATTACATCCACGTACTTGCTTACCATCAAACGAAAACAAAACTCTTTGTACATATGCACACGCTTGAACATTACACTCGCACCAAGACAACAACGAGAAAGCTCACCTCTTGGCAACGGCCGAGTTCTTGTGCCCCTCTAGCGCCTGGATCTTTTCGGGCGTGAGCATGCAAGCGTACGGGTTCGTGTACGCCCCGGCCTCTCCGCCCGCCAACGCCTCCGTGGCGCTATGACCGTCCCTCGCGTTCGCCGCCGCCGCCGCCGCCGCCGCCGCCCCGACCGCCGCCATGCTCGCGCACTCCATGCAATGGTCCCCTTCTCCCTCTCCCTCCCCGTGATCCCCAGCACCATTGCCCCCCTTGCAGAGTCAGGAGAGCAAAGTAGGCCGAAATGTGGAGGGCAGGTGTAGAATAATACAACCATTGGTGCTGTACACCACAAAACAAATTAGGGGTATCTTGCTCATGGTTCAGCAGGAAGATCGAAAGCACTTTTGGGGTCCATCTCCGTGGTTTCACACACATCTATTCTGGGCATCTCGCTCGGTGTTCAATTTTCGTACCGCTAAATGGACACATTTTTACCGCCAGGGGACATCTGAAAGGCGCGGGCATGGAGTGCTCCGGGGGCGCTACTGCCATGGCAATCCCGGTCGGGATCACACGAGTCTGTACCGGGAGAGCGAGCCACAAAACTACATATAATGAACTCGTTCTCACAAATACCTTCGGTTCATGCTTTCTCTTCCCTCAGGGGCCCCGTTAGCAAGAGCCAATCGATGAATGCATCATACCACGTGTTGATGCCGTGCTCCTGGTGATGAGACCAACCCTGATAACATCGCCTCCACCCTATCATACCTCTCAAAACCCTTGGGGTTTCTTTCGGGAAAAAATGTCCTCGACGGTCGTTCTTGCTCCACCAGTAAAGCACACCTTCGTGATTGAGTGCCATGTACTCTAATGACCGGCTGACTGCTGTGACTGCTGTGTATTGCCCCACAAGAGCAGGTGTACCGCTGCCACCACCACCGGCACCGGCACTCCCTCAACAATGACAACAAATCCCTTTTCGCACCTGATCGGGATCTGCATGCGAGTGCGAGGCGATAGCGTTCCGCATCACGCGGAGATCGCCAACGCTGAGCACCCGCTCGATCCCTTCCAAGGCCATCATCACCATCGAGCTCTCCCCAAGGAGATCCGAGAGGATCTGCACGCACCCCTGTGACACCAGATACTCGATCTAATCCAATCCCACGCCAATACACAAAACGAAGGGAGAAGAGACACACACGGACGTGATGAGTGGGTCCACGAGCGTGTTGGATCGAGTCAGCAGCCGTTCGGGTCTTTCCACGAGGGCGGCGTAGTGTTTGGTTAAGGTCTTGCCATCGATTCGTGGCGGGAGTGGTGCAAGCCTGTTGCAAGGGGTAAGGGAATCATGCATGAAAACCACTGGACTTTTGCACTGCACCCATAGACTTTGAGTTCCGTAGCATCGGGGCAGTCTCTTGCTTTGCTGGAATAATCGGGTCTTGCATCGATTTCTTTTGTTTGTATCTGCGCGTGTTGTTCGATCACGGAAGCCCCTTGTCTCACCTCTACGATTTACCTACGCATGTGGGCAGAGAGGATGTATTGCCTTTCCACGTCGAGGTATCATCAGAAACCGCACCATCAAAAATCACGACAGCACACACCAGCGACAGCAGTAGCAGCAGCGATAACAACAGCAGCAAGCGACATCAGCAACCTTTGTCAAAACACACCTGTGCATCAGAGCCACAGCTGGCGGCGTTGAGGACGACCCAGAAGGCCTCTGATCGCACCTCGGACTCCGTCTCCGGCGAAGTCGCGAGCTGCCGTATCATCGAGTATCGAGTGTCGAGTGTGCGGGAAGAAGGGTCGCAAAGAGGAGAAGCAACGCAAAGACGAAGGTGCGCTCGTGTGCGAGAGAGGCCCAATTCCACTCTTGGCGAAAGAAGCCCAACACCAACGAAGGCGGGGTGTGTTCACTACAGTTAGCAGCTGGAACGCACTGCTGGAACGATCTGTAGTGACTACAATAAAATTAGCACGCCTTATTGAAAACATTTCCGCTAGAGAGCTACGGCCCGCTATGCACATCACATCGCGACACCAGGCTCCTCTTCGGGAAGCCGCTACGCTACGTATACAAGTGCCAGACAGGCACGCCAGGCGGCGCTTGAAATTTCGACGGGAGGTTACCCGAGACTGGCGCATACAAAGCACAAACAACCGACGCATGCTGCTGCTGCTGCCGTTGTTTTCACAAAAAAAAATGTTCTGGCCTCGAGCGATAGGGTACCCCCTTCGCCTTGCTCTTCGAGACCAAACAAACACATCTTCTCTATCTTTCTTTTCAACGCGCGCGTGTACTCTGTGAGCGCCGCCTTACTTTTCAAGACAAAGTAAATGAGCACAGCTTTTCACATTGTCGCCAACAAGCGCTTGTACTCTGTGAGGTAAGTTCGTAGTGTCGACGGCACTAGTCGAGGGAAGCCAAAAAGAAGGACAGCAGCACAACCATCACACCACTTGGTCACGAACAAACATCAACGCTTCTGGAAAAAAACGACGCCCTCGCTGCAGTGTAATAGAGACAAAAAAAAGTATTCTACAACACGTACCTCAAGCTTGAACCCATTGCATAGCGAGGTTTTCATATGGTCAACACATTATCAAAAAGGGGTGCTTGCAAGAAAGCAGAACCAACAAGACGAGCGGGAGAACGCGGAGCTGGATAACAACCGGATGACCCACTTGAAAACAAACAAACAAACAAAACGTTGGCAGTCGCTCACTAACTGACCTTGATGAGCTGAGGCATCGCACCGCTATCCAGCACGCTCTGGATCTGGCTCACCGAACCCGCCGCAATATTGCTCAGCGTCCAGCACGCCTGTTCGTAAAACAGAGCGCCGTGACCCCCCAAACGATCGACTTAGACACAATCGTGCATCAATATAATCACACATCGCTCTCAAGTGACGTCATGATTACGAGGCACACAAGTGTCAGTCCAGCACAAGCGCGGTAGACGTTACGGAGACAAACACCCGTCAAGCGTAGGCACATGCAAGAGATGTTACGGCGGGTACTCCCTGTACGTGCCTCGAGCATGATCCGATGACACCACGTATCCTACTAATTGCATCCTGAGCGTGGGCCACTGGGGGCCGTGATGTCCGCTTTAAACCCGCTGAGAACGCCACCCTCGTGTCATTGGACAGCCGGTAAGCGCGGCAGCTATTAATAGCATGCAGAGACACCCAAGCACACACAACAGACCCACACACAGCTCCGGCGTGTTTCTTACTCAAAAGGATTGCATTGTAGAGAGGGGAATATCCACCATCGCCGTTCTGGGCGACGCCCACTCTCAAAATATCAATATTGCCACCCTTCCATGGACCTCGACTTTTTACCCGCTGACACCGCTGTCTTTCTTTGGTCAGCCGTTCACAAAGCGCGGTCAACGCAAACTGATAACAAACAAACAAACAGCCAGCTTGCACCTCCTTCTGGATCTCGCGGTTGGGGTGCGCGATTAGCTTCTTTAGGCACACGACGGAGCCGGCCTCAAGGATAGCCTCAGTGTAGTCTGCATCGTCCTCGGCACAGACCACGTTCCCGATCGTCCGGAGCGCAGGCTTCACCACCTGCGAGCTGGGGTGGTCTAGCAGCTGCACCAGGCGCTTGCACACTCCAGACTCTACCACAACCTGAGGGCAGGAAGGACAGATGTAACACCTTCAATGGCACGTGTGTGACGGTGAGCACCTGCACTCGAGCAACGCAAACCCTCCGCCCTTCGTTGCTGCCGCTTTGTGTTGGAGAAACCTCCACAACTTGAACGAAACGTCCGTGGCGCACTGGGCACTTGAGATCACTGGGTTTCCTTTGGCATCCACCGCCCAAGACAAACAAACACACACACATGCCGCAACACAGCATACTGGTATCCTCCAACAGACGTTCCGCGGTGTGGATACACGGTACGGCGTTGCTCCGAACATAATTTCGTCGGTTTCAGCAGCGCTTCAACCTCAGAGTCCACCTTGACTTCGTTGAGCATTTCAATTCACGAATACCGTCGTACTCGTTTAATGGGTAGTTGGCCTGTTACCACGGAAGGCGCCCGTGCCCGTTGGAACAGGAAGGAAAATGGAAGGAACCCAACAGAGCTCGGAACGACTTCAACGTGTAAATAACAGTTTGAGTACCGCGATTTAGCACCTTAAGGCGAACAACCACATCGCCTACCGGATGCATACACACCTACATAACCTAACCCTAACCGCAAGTCTTTTCTTGCCTTGATGTGCGCCGCGGAGCCATCGCAGAGATGGCTGAGAGCAGAGCACGCATGGCACAACACCTCAAAGTCTCCCGCCATCAGTAGCCGATTGATCGCCGGCATCACCTGTTCACACCCAAACATCAAGGAGCAAGCCCGCACGCGGGGGTGTATCAAAGCCCAACAGAAGCTGGATACTGTATCTACCCCAATGGCATCCAACGGGTCAAGTCAAGATAGACCGCCGCACGCGTACTACGACACCTTCGGACATGGTGGGCAACCTCGCGAACCTGCCACAATAGCTCTAGGTCACGGGTCGGAATCTCTCCGGCGTGGAAAAAAATGGCGACTAACGCGCGAGGAGGGCATAGTCATCTGGCGCCTTCCGAAGGGAAGGTCTGCTGAACCCTCCTCGGGTTAAAAGAGTGCGTCTGGTGGTCACATCGCAAGAGCTACTGTCCCGGCAACGGCTTTCTTTCATACCCTGTGGTTCACCGAAAAGAAAATCTGCATACAACAGCAGTCTGCACAATTCACCCTTCTAGTTGATGCGTTCATGTGTGTGTCATCAGACTGACTCTGGGTTTCTTACCAATGCACCTTTAGATGTACTTTCTGAACGCATCAGCGGGGGCCACACGGAAGCGAGGCCACACAGGAGTCCTTCCCTACCTTCCTTCTATCGTGCTCGCTCACTCACCATGTTGACTGTCGCGACATCCACAGTGGGCCGGGGCTGCCCGTCCAAGAGGTTAAACAGCGACCACGCTCCGATACGCTGGAGGCTGAGCAAAGTCTGGTGCTGCTCCAGGCACCGTACCAGCGGCCTGCATGTGTGTGCGTGTGTGTGTTCGTGTGGCAACAACGAACGCAAGGTAGGAAATCACTTTCAGAAGTGGGACAAGAGAGGAAGTGCAGCCCGCACATTCAATGTCTAAGCCGACGTCAAACGGAACCCTCGGAAACAACCATCTCGCGCACCCGCCAACGAAACCATAACCAATAGCAAGAAAGGAACAACCGAGGCCAAACTTGGGGGGCTGAAGAAAAGGGGAGGGGGATTGCAAAAAAAATGTACTGGTAGGTATCTATCCATCCTAGGGCCCCTAGGTGTTGCTTCTCCTATCTGTACGATATTCCAACCACAAAAAAATGTGGCAGCAAGGTTGTCTTCTAGGCGAGGTTGTGCTTGATTCTTCTCACCCTACTAGAGGACATAATTCGTCGAAGTCTATGCCACTGAACCTTGCTGCAAGAAAAATATCGCAACCAGATTGTTTTCCAAGCGAGCTTGTGACTATTTCTTCTCACCCCAATACTCCAGCCTGAAGCACCGCGTCTCTAGCAGTGGTCCCGTCCTGTCCATCCTGCGCTAACTTGCCTAGCACCCACATCGCCTGCTCCACCATCTCCAAGCTAGGACTTTTCAGCAAGTTCACCAGAGTGCCGACGGCTCCATGCTGAATTTCCATCATTCAAGAGTTCCGAACGCATGCCGTCGTGTGAGCGATTTGAGGTTTGCGCCCTTGGCTCTAGTTCAACGCCGGGATGAGGGTTTGTGAAGAAACGTGATCTGTATCTCCAAGCCACGAATCTTGAGCACAGTGAGCGTAATTGATGTCACGACGGTAAAAGCTTGAGTGTCACCGTAACGTGCATCGTGACGTCACAAAGCTGGGCACGGGCAAAAAGTGTGTTGTTTGGAGAACGCGATTGTAGCAACGAGAGTTTTGAGCATACGTAGCTTACAAACGGGAAAGCGCGTGCGACACGCATGTTGACAATAAACGCCGCGAAAAAGCGTGGCAATCACTTCGTGCAGAAAGAAGCGTCACGGCGGCACGCAGAGCCAAAGAAGATGACGTGCGCAAGCTTGCGGGAAGGAACTGCTGAATCTTTTCTTGCTTTAAAATGAAAGGAAGCATGCACCGCGGGGGAATCAAAAGTACTACAGTGGTGGGCACGGCTCCGGATGATGTGCTCTTCAGTTGAAGAGGCAAGACTGCCCGACAGGCAGACCAGCTGTGAGCTATGGTTGACCGAAAAAAAGAATGAAATGGGACTGTAGTAGTACAACAAACACACGTTGGTCACGGAACACTACCAATCAATTGCTCCGCTTTCGGGGACTCTTTTAGCTGTGGATGTTGACGACTTCGATGCGATTTTTGGTATAGAAAGAAACAAAACGCACTCGCGTGAGGCGTTCCTTTCCTTTCCTTTCCTTTCCTCGCTTTTTTACCTTGAGAAGCAGAGGTGTGTGCTCTATCGTGGTCTGCGCCACGGTCGTCAGCGCCGACAACGCTTCCACCTGCAGACTCGGCCGGTGCACAAGCCCCAACCATCTCAGCAGCAGAGGCACCCAGCCTCGGCTAAGCATCTCCTGGACCATCCTCTCTCTGTGTGTCGTCAGGCGCCCCAAGAGCGGGGTACATGTGTTGCAGCAAAGAGTGAGTCATGGCCAAGTTGCGAGGGAGAACCAGCGCCACCCCGCGTCATTCTATCAACTGTGTGCCATCACGCCGTTTCATCGGCGAAACGAACAGCAGGACAGGGAATCGATCCATATACAAAGGCAGACAGCAATTCGGCCTAACGAGAAGCGGGTGGGTTGCTCCTGTTACGACTCAAAAACGGCAGAAGCCGGCTGCGAAAACGTTTGAGACCTTACTATAGTCCCAATAATGGGAGGGGGGGCACACGGATAGAGTACACGCGGACATCTGTTGGGGACGCAAGTGTTCGGCAGCGCACGGTATCGTGGGCTGAACGAATAATTCCTTTTCGACGCAGCGCATTCAATACCAAAAGCCACGGCAACCGAGCAGTGTGTGCTGCCGTCCGGACTTGCTCGAATGTAGAAACGGAGCCATGCTACCAGCAAGGGGACCTCCACCTTCATCTCCGCTGCAGATAACACAGAAGTTGCAACATACTCCCTAGCTTTTCACCGGTCAAACTCTCACCCCGGTTGCACGCCGACAAATCACAAGGCATCCGCCGTGTGCGTTGACATCAGAGAGGACATGACGCCCCCATTCACTTGACACCAGATACAAACAGCGGCAGTAGTAATTTACCTCTCCCTGTCATCACCTATTTGTGCTCAGCAGGTGCCGGAGCCTCTTCGCCGCTTCTAACTGCTGCCCCCCAAGCTGTGATTCCGTCTTCGCGCCGGTGTCACCAAGCTGGATGTGCAACCCGCGCTCCACCGCCGCCGCCTCGCTGGAAAACGCCTGGAAGGAACAAGGCGAACCAGTAAACGTTACGAACCAAGCGGTTCAGTGAACAACACAAACAAGATGCTTTGTGGACGCCAGAAGAGCCCAATCGGTTTACGTTGCTCACTTCCTCCACACACTCATCGGCTGCTCTTCCGTTGCTGTTGTTGTTGTTGTTGTCGTTGTTGTCGTCTTGACATTAAAAAACCGTTCCGGTCTCCGCTGAGTACTTTCCAATGCCCGTACTGGTACAACTGACGAAGACGCCTTCTGCGGTCGCAGACCAGCTACAATACCCGAGATTGTTGTGGCATGAACACAAGCCCAAAAGGTAGCCATTACCGCAAGGTTGCGGGTCAGCTCGAGCACAGGCAGGGGTGCGAACGATTTTCAAAGCGTAATTTCTCCACAAGCAGGAGGGTGCGAGCGCCAACAGATACTTCTCAGGAAAGCTCTCGATGAGATATTTCCAAAACCGCCCTTGTCGACAGTGGTAACCTGTTGGTTGTGGAGAAACTACGCTTTGAAAATCGATCGCACCCCTGCCTGTGCTCTACTTGTAGCTGACTCGCAACCTTACGGTACTTCAGCAGGCCATGCGAGAAATAGTCTACTTGATCCTTCCGGCAACTGCTGCCGAGCGCAGGAGCACCATGTGGTGTTGTACTACTGCTGTAAATGTACAACGAGCAACCGTGCTGCAGAGAATGGGGCCTATTTTATCACGCACCAACCAAACCTTGCGGCGGAACAAATAAAACAACAATGCCTACAATGAACACTCCATTTTGCCAGCACAACATGCAAAAAACGAACAATACTGAGGATGAAACACGACGCAGACATGCCTCCTTGAAGGCGTGTTGGATACGCATAACAAACGACCATGCTGGTAACAAAAAAATCCGGACGACATCGTGTAGCCGCTCTTCTTTTCCGAACCGACGCGACAGCATTGCTGTACGCACGTAACGCACACCACCGCGTATACATGTATGCAGACATGCACACGCTTGAACAGCAACGGCGGAACGTCGTTGGGGTTGCGAAACTGTGCCTTCGGGCTCGCGTGCACCAAAAGTGCCGGACAAACAAACAAAGGTAGCAATGGAGACCCAAATGGCCACCCAACCACCCGCTCATACTTGCGTACACCCAGATAAGTAGCAACCGACCCCTTGCGTTCACAAGAAACATAGGGTGTGAACATTCATTCATACTAAGACCTCTCCAACGCCGAAGAAAAAACGTGCTTCGCGCCACATACATACCCGCGTTGAGGCTTCACCTTGAGACGAAGCACACCAGGCAGACCGTAACACAGCAGTACTGCTGTATACCAGCCGGAGCACCCGGTCGCCGAACTGTACAACGAAGACGACACATACATGTCATGTACAAACGATCTAAAAAACATGCACAAGCCGACACTCGCCACCTTCGACGCACCTTCTGTCCAAGCGGCTGCGGCACCAAGGCCGAGGGCAACGCCGGGCTCGCAAACGCCGCAGGCCCCACAGGCGGCGAGGGCGCCAGCGATCTCCCGCTGGCCACCAACGCACCGCTAGCTCCCTGCCCAGCCGCCGCCGCCGTCCCGGTGGCTGCAGCCGCAGCAGCAGCAACGTCGCCCGCTTCGTGGCTCGATTCTTCTTGGCATCCGCCGACCGCGGCTATTGTGGTAGCCCTGGCGCCTCCCGCTGCGGCACGCGAGTTGGGTGTGGTGTGATGCGGCAACATGGGTGCGGATGGGGGCAGGAGTGAACGAGCCGCTCCCGGTGATTGACCCACCACCGCGGCCTTTTCTACACCGACGGCTGTGGCGGCGGCAACGGCGGTCCCTGCGGGGTAATTATAGGCAACAGCACCAAGGAGGAGCTAGAGGCAGACGGAGTGGAAGAGGAGGATGCGTGTGGGTGCGAGCGCAACCAGGTATTGCCATGCTGCTGTCCTCACACTCGAGCATAGCAAAAGAAGACGCGGCGCCGAAGTAACGAGAGAGGCAATACTTGTACCCACCTTAGTGCATCGTTCGTTTGCACAGGTCCCAGCGACCCGAGCGGGAACTACTGCTGGCTGTGTACATAATGTGGGGTTCAGACGGTTATTTTCCCTCCAGATAACAAAAACAAGGGCAAAAAGCCTTAACACCTGGAGCACCAGGTATCCCGCGGAGGGGGTGTCCCTCGCCAACCAATCACAACACCGGCGTTTGTGAGCTTTGCCGCTGGCGTCGCGGATGCCGCTGCCGCGTGCAGGCTCGTCCTACTGCTGCGTCGATGGTAGAAACCCAAGTATCGTTGAGCGTTTTCGAAATCTTCGGACATGGGACGGTGGAAAGCGGGAGACTTTGGCTCGGGTGCTTCGATCTCGCGTGTGCGATACCTGTAGATGATCACATGTCTCACCCGGTGAAAGGGCGCCGACCGCCGCAGCGATTCCTTGCCGGTGCTCCTCGATGCCCTTCTCCTCCAGCCGCTTGCCGTCTGCTGCCGCGGTGACAGCGGTGTCGCTGCTGCCACGGCTGCTGTCTTTGGAGCTGTCCTTCTCCTTCTCCTTCTCCTTCTTTCTACCCATACCTAAGAGTTGAGCTAACATCGTAGACACCTCCTGTTACGGCCGATGCGAAAACGGACGGCAGGCCCAGCCTGGGAAACAGGCGCCAAGGAGGAGTGGGGAACACGGCTCACGTGCTTTTCGAAGATGTGGGAGAGCGGTTTTTTTAAGTGGGGTGGGGGTGGCGATCTGTGTGAGGGTGGTTACAACAGTGCGCGTGGTTCTCCTCGGCAATGGTCGGACAACTTTCGTTCAGAGAAGAGTCAGCACAGCGAAGGCGCTGTTTGCAGACGTTTTCTCCTCTCGGTCTGCTGCTGCTGCTGCTGCTGCTGTTGCGTTGCCCCACCCCCTATGGGTGCCCGCCCACACACGACGTTTGTATCACGTGGAAAACGGAGGGTTTTCGCCGAGGGCGTGGTGGTCGACGATGGGCCCAGAAAGATTGCGGTTGGAGACTTGTGCATCGAAACATCCACATCTCACCACAAACTACGACTAGGCCTTTCGTGCTCACCTTTCGAATCGTGCTTGCGTGTGTGGTTCCTTTTGCCGGAGCTTTCGTCGAATGGACTTCGTGGAGAGAGAGGGCTTCGAGGCCCTACAGATAGCGCATTAAATCGATATTTACTGGAGGGATACAATATTGTTGTCATCATCGCGTACCCCCTCGACTGACACAGGGCCCATAGGCAGGGCCAAAAAAGTGAAAAACGACGCAATTTTATTGGTCAACAGCACATCCCGAGATGAAAAACGACCCCGAGACCATGAAAAACGACGACCTGTGATTGGGCCAAAGGATCCGAATTGGGCCGCTGCCGCCGAGACACATGAAAACACATGATGACAACACCCAACAAAGACCACAACGGAGAGCACAACAGCCCTCCCACAGCAGCCGTGGAGCCAGCGCTCCCCATGGGGCGAAATCCAGGATCAAAACCCAAGGATGGCGCACAAAAAGCGGGTCGGAAAACAAATGCGGAGAGGTGAGGATAGCTGCGCAGCAGAAGAACCAGGCGGCCGCGTTCGCAAGGATGCTCTCCCGGCACCCGCAAGCCCAGCCATAATCAAAGCGGCCACGGGTGAGTAAAGACCAAAGTGGGGAGGGAAGCAGTGCGGGTGCTAGAAGCGCGTCATCCGCCGGCGATGTCGACGTTAGTGGGGGTTCTGGTGATTCATCAAGCACGGTGGCACCAACCATAGGCGAGTCCACTCCACCTCCTGCCGTTACACAACAGCAGTCGCCTCCTCGCTTGGACGATGAGGGTGAACACTCTCGAGTAGATGGAGAAGAAGCTCGGGCACCACCATTCTTAACCGTAGGAGAAGGATCCGCAACAGCACCAACAGAGCTCGTAACAACAACAACAACAGCAGCAGCAGCAGCAGCAACAGCAACAGCAGCAGCGGCAGCAGCAGTGGCGGCGGTACCCGTCCCGCACCCTCCCAGCAAAGGCAAGGGTAAAGGCCGTGCTCATGAAGCCTCTCAAGCACGCGGGGGGGCAGCTCCAGCAGAGCTATCCTCTCACATAGGTGAGGGGTCAGTACCAGCATCAACAGCACCGGCAATATCAGCGGCACCAGAGGCCGCAACAGGGGCAGCAACACCGGCACAACTCGCAGCAGCAGCAGCGGAAGTAGCCGCCGCCGCGGGGGCGGCAGCGGAGAGACCAGCAGCAAGCGGAGGTCACGACCGCGGAGCGCGCCAACAAGGACGAGGAGGGGGGCTGAGCGGCCGTGGAGGAGGTAGAGGAGGGGGGATGAGCGGCCGTGGGGGAGGTGGAGGAGGGGGGCGAGGGGCAGCAGCGCCAGGTCGTGGAGCAGGAGGAGGTGGGGCTGGAAGAGCCGCTGGTGGAGGGGCCTGCGATGATGATACTTCAACATCCAGTGCGCAGGAACGCTTCTTTGAAGAAGTGAAGGACAAGATCGACCGGAGTATCACCCACGAGGGAGGTGGTGTGAAAGGCCGGTTCCCGTTTGACAACCCGCTCGTGCGTCCGAAGTGTGCCACTTTTCAGCCATCACCAGGTACGCCAGAGGAGTTTTTTTTTTTGGGGGGGGGGTAAATAGCTGCCTATCTATCTTTCTTTTCAGATTAAATCGTCCAGGGAAAATACATCCCATCCCCCGGTAGGCCATTTTTTTTGTCTCGCGTGCCTGATGTTCTGACATATCTACCTCACATTTACGCGCGCCCAGACCTACCGAAACTCGACCGGTTTTATCAGAAGGCGGTATTGGTATGGATACCGGAGTTCTTGTTCCCAGAGCTCCAGGCAGTTCCTTGTCCAGGATGTGGGGGCAAGGGCGCACCTGATGGCTGGAACCCTAAGGGGCCACGCCGGGTGTTCATGGAGCACGACGTGGCGTACGTGATGGGGTTTCGGTAAGTTCAGCATGCGAAGAAGAGTGTTCGCTCGATAAACTTCATCAGTCATGTTTTCGTGGCATCCGACGAATTCTGGTTTCTGGTAGATTGGAGTTCGTGTTGTGGTTTTCCGACGATATTGCTCGTGGTGTATGTTTTCTCCCATGCACGTGCAGGTACAAGTGTGCGAAGTGCGCGGAGTTCAATAAAGGCAAGCAGGAGGCGGAAAAGCGCAAGACGAGCTTCAACGCGTGGGGTGCTGGGTGCCTCCGGCGTCTCCCGGAGTACATCTCCAAGGAGTTCCCTTTCCTTCTCACCAAGCGGTCGGGCATTGAGATTTGCATGGTGGACCGGCTTGCAGATGATTTGGTGCATGGGAAGGGCTTCTCCGCTGCTGCCAAGAACATTTGTCAGGTGAATATGCAGTGTCTCATCTGCAGCGTCTTAAGATAACGGGTTGGTCTGGTCTTGGCTTTCCTAGCCTGTTCAAAACATTTGCGGATGGTACCGCAAACGTTGCTGCGGGAAACGTCGAATCTCATAAGCGCCGACCCGTGCTACAACGAAAACGTGTCGCCCTCGCAATGCTGTTGCAGGCGCATACGACCAAGTTCATGGTGGACCAGCTGAAGTACACCTCTCTGGTCAGCACCCGGCGGACCAGCTCGGGCATCTTCCGCTCGGCCAACCTCGCCAAAATTCCGGAGAGGTTCGGCAGCTTTGATGACTCGACAAAGTACGGCGGTGCGGTCCCGTCGGAGCACTATTTGCGGGACGTGTGGCGGTTGTATTTTTCGAAACTCCCCGTGCTGGAGATGGATAGCGTGGATTGGACCCTGGAGGAGTATCAGCACCGCTTGATGCAGCGCTGGGACGGAGACATTCTGGGTGGGGATGCTTTGTTTAAGTTTGCGAAGATCATCCGGCTCGGGGCAAAGGCGGGCGAGGAGCGCACAAGACCAGTGTACGGCTTCTTCACAGTCTTCAACGAATGTGAGCAGGTGAAAATTTCTCCTGCCTCTGTTTCGTTCAACCATCCCCAAACCCTTCGTGTTGGTGCCATGTTTTCTGGAGCAATCACTGGCAAATTATTCTCGTAGTATGGTACGCTCATTCTGATGACCCGAAAAACATTTCGTTGTTACACATGTGTGTTCTTATTTGAAGGTGGTCTGGCAGCGTCCGATGAAGACCGGTGCCTTGAGCGAGCTGGCGGAGGAGTTGAAGCTTTTTTTCATGCGATTCGTTCGCAATGGCTTCAAGGTTCCTACTCTGTGGAACACAGGTAATTTGCGAAATGATTGTAGAGTTGCTTCGCTTTTCGAGGTTGTAGACCGGTGTCAGGCCTGCTATTTTCGCAGTGACTTTGCAGTATTGTCTCCTCAATCCTTTCCGGTCCCGTTGCGTGACGCTTCACTTTGTCAGATGACTGCTGTGATGACCGTCAACTGCTGCAACGCATATTACGCGAGTTTGAGGAGGTAACGGGGATCAGTCTTTATCTGGAAGACGAGGTGGACGCCGGAGTTCAGTTGGAGCTCCTGCCATAGCTGGATATGGAGTTCACCCCTGCCATCATGTACGACCCGGAGGCGGTAGCCGCTGCCTGCGGCTCCCGTCAGAGCATCAGCCAAATATCGAGTGGAGGGAAAGATGATGTGCGGAGCGGACGCAGAGTGGCAGTTTTCACCTCGTGGGCGGGAACCTTTAGCGACCTTCCAGATTGCGGCTTTGAGGGTGCCGTCGTTCCTCTTCCACCTGCAGAGAGGGAACTCTGGTTTTACGAAGGAAACATTTCCCGCTCCCCTGAAGGCTCTTCTCGAGGACCCCAGCATCATCAAGGTGAGACAACAGCAACAGCACATGCGCGTGAGGGTTGAATGCGATAGATGTTGTATTTCATGCAAGTACTGCTCTTGAAAGGTTGGTACGGCGTATTTTAGCATCCGTCTTGTGAGCGTCTTCTTCATGATACTATTTGAATGCCGACTCGGCGACTCGATGTTTCCTCTGTGCAGGCTGGTGTTGCCATCAACACGGATGCCACGCATATGCTCAACGACTATGGCGTGAAAATGGCGAGCACGGTGGGCCTGCGTGTCCTCGCCGTGTCCAAGTTGGTGGTGACATCGTCTCAAACACTCGCCGGCTTGACGGCGTGCCTCCTGGGGAGGCAGCTGCCGAAGGATACCGTCCGATGCTCCCGTTGGGGGAGCGCTCAACTCTCCGTTGAACAGCGAGACTGCGCCATCAGGGACGCCGTTGCCTCGGCACTCTTTTACGAGGCCATCCACACGAACAAGGACCCGATCACGTCCGTGCCTTCTTCACCGTTCGACCCGGCTGTCGGCTTGAAGGTGAGCGCCTACGCATTGTGGTATCGGCCGTACTTTGATGTGGACCGACAACAACAGATCATGGCAGGTTCAAAATTTGTGCTGAAACCCAAGCAACAACGCTTGCCCTCGTTCTTTTGCCCTCTGCGCGTACTACAGGTGCGCCTCTACAACGCCAGCCATTCCGCCTGCGTGGCGGTAGGTCACGTGGTGTCCGACGCCACCGTGGAGGCCGCCCTTCGTCACTGGCAAAGTTCTGCTAAGCTACAGGGTCTTTCCGGGAGCAGGCAGCGGGATGGCGTGGTTGTACGGGGCTCCGGGGCGGGAGGTGACCCGGTAGAGGGGTCGCCGATCTCGGCTGGGCCTGGGGCGGGGGCGGCGGGGGCGGCGCGGGCGGCGTTGCCGCAGTTCAGGGCCTGCATCGAATGCGGACACCACAAGGGTGCATACCCTGCTGAACACCCTGGGAATCGCCGTGGACATAAGGCGAAAGGTTCAGCGCCCCAGCCCGACCTTGAACCGGCGAAAAATGTTTAGTGGACCAGAGCTTGCGGCGGCCAGAGTCGGACAAAGTCTGGAACCCTAAGCACAGAAAGAGGACGTTTCTGCCCTGCCCGTGCGATGTATGCAAGGGCTCATACGCACACGTGGAGGATGGTGATAGTTAGCCTGTACTGCCGGGTCGAGAAGAGCTGGACTCATGTAAAAAAAAGTAACTATTTGCCTACCGGTTCGAAAGGCCGTTCGGTCAGAGTGCACTAGTTGTACGGCAGTCGCCCAGAATTTCGGATGGTAAAGGAAATTAACAAACGGCCCACGATTGAGACATCAGATACACCACGGCTGCCCAGGCGATGTGTGCGTGTGTGTGTGTGTATTTATGTTAGCATCGACCGCGCTAACCGGCTGACCAATTAGCCAGCGGGAAAATATGTGTGTGTTTTTATGTTTGTAAAAATGTGTGTGTTTTTTTTCCGGCACCATCTGCCGTCTTTCAACAATAATATTAAGTTGGACGGTATGCTAGACGTGCCTGGGAATGCAGTGCAAGAAGCCGTTTCGAAATCGGCTCACATTTCAAGGACATATGCCCAAAACAGTGGATCGGGGGGAGTGGAAAAAAACAGCCAAAAAACAGCCCGACCGGGAAAACGCCTCTTCAATTTTTTTCGCGCTTCGCGCGAAAATTTATATAATACGTCCCCGCCTAGCCCTACCTATGGGCCCTGAGCCTGCGTGTGCTGGACGGATCGGTATAATTTCTATTTTCGGCAGAAGGTGTGTCCCTTGCTTCTGCTCTGTCTGGATACACCGAGGAGTTGGCGCGCCCACCCCGGAGACTGAGAACAAATCTGTCAAGTTGTCGAGGGGATTGTTTCAGAACTACTGCTGTTGCAGGCTTTTACAGCAGGGAGAGCGAAGCCAAGACGATAGGAAGCGGCTGGAAGTGACCCCCCCGGGGAGGACGACGACGATGATGTCGTTGAGGTGTCCATACCAGGTTTTTCTAGCGGTTGTCTACTGCTGCTGCTGGTGCTCCGAGGCCAAGTTATGGAGAGGCAGCGCAAGATTGTCGGCGTCAAAGCCTTGGATGGCTCTAACTTCGTTCGCTTTCGACATTGGCACCGGCAGGGTGAGACACGCTACCATGTTTTGGCTGCAGTACAACACCAGTAGACTACTATTATAGCTCTTTCAGCACAACCAGGAGACCATCCCCACCCCTCGACAGCCTCGCAAAGCTCTTGCTGCTGGCGCGATGCTACTCAGAGTTCGGTCTTAGCAACACTATGCAATGTGGCAGCGTGTAGACCTTGGGACGCCTAGCCTACGGTCAATCACCAAATGGCCCGCAAACGGCATGATTCCTGCTGCTGGGCGCGTTGTAATGCCAAACGGCTCATTTGTCGCGTACGCCTGTTCCCCGAGGCGCCATAAAGCTATTATCAGAGTCCCTTAGATGCAAGTTGCTGACTCCCCCGCGGATGTGCCCGTGATACTATGCATACGTGATGTCGAGTTACTGCTGTAGAGGGGTATCTTCGTTTCATGAACACTTGTGGGAAAGGGCCAATGCCGACCTGCCGCTCATGTCGTGTGACATCCAACGACAGCACAGCAGTCCCCTCTTACCGAAAAGGCTCCGTATGTGTCACTTCGCAGATCGATGTGACCTTCCCGCAAGGAAGTCTGGGAGGCGTGCCGGAGGGCACGAAGATGATCGCTATCCTAGACGAGGATTGGCCAGAGTTCCTAGCGGAAGAGAGGTGCATGGTGCGGGATCGGCTCAATCGCTGGCTAGTACCATTGGAACCGGAGGCAACCAGGGAGAGCGATGCCGTGTTTGGAACCACGATCAGACAGGTAAGCACTCGAGTGAGCTATATTTCATCTCCATCTCTCGTTCTCTGTCTGTCTGTCTATCTATGCCTCTCTTTCTCACGCACATACACACTCAGCTGTCCTTTGCGCTGGAAGAACTCGATTTGGGCGCTGGTGTTAAGCACTATTATCATTGCAAACTTACTTCGGCCTCTCAGCTCTTCTCACAAGCGCAAACAGCGCACCTCCGAAAAGTGTATTTTCGCCTGTCTGCCTGACATCTCGAAACACTCGCGTTTAGCAGCTCAACAGAGTAATACTTGCCTTAGAATGGCCCATTTTGGCCGGTGGCCCGAAGCGCCCAAAACCCTCTGTACACAAGCACATGTTGGAGACTCAGGGACCCAGCACGGATATTTATCTGTGTGTACCGGCAAGGTTGGTGTGATGTTGGAGACCTTGGATGCTTTGCAGAGGTTTCCGAGTAGCGACCAACGTTCAGTGCAACCTGAAGCGGCATAAATACTGCCGCCCCCTCCTGTCCCATGCCGCTCGTGGTTGCGCAGAATATCCGACCGCACAACTGGTACCTGGTGGTGTCTCACTGCAATGCACGAGGCAGCCCTCCGAAGCGCACGAGAATAGAGGTGCGCTTCTTTTTCGTTTCCAGTAGGTCTTGATAGGTGTTTTATTTCGGTATGCCAAGGGTTCTGGCGAGAGATCGAGTACTGTAATTTAGTGAGGCGCCGTTCGCGCTCGTGCGTGGTCTATTATGTCTTTTTTTCCTTCGCAGTTTGAGCCGTATCAATAGTGGCAAACCTTGTTGTCCAGGTGGATAATTACTCTGTGTCGTAGAAGTTGTCACAGGAAATGCTGGGTTTCAATCGACTGCAGTGGCATCTTACTGCGTGTACGTGTACATACGTTTGTCGTGTTGTGTGTCGCCCCGATAACAGCATCCTCGATGTAATCTAAGTCTGGTACCTTGAGCGTTCATCTCGTCTCACTACACTTGTAGCGTACGATGTTTTACGTACGTACAACGACATGCTGCATCATTTGCTCAACAGGCACCGTTCGCTGCGTACCTCTCAACGTGGTGCAGATGTCAGCCTCCTTTACACAGCAAGGGGGCTCCCACATCTCATACGAGGACAAGCTAACCACGAAGGTTATCCCCTTGATGCTCATGGCATTCACGGCAGCGGCCGCCATCATCGGGAACCTGTTCGTGAAGCGTAGGAGGGAAGGCGGGGGGATTCACCCTACCCTGCAGTTCATGCTCGCGGCGCTCGGCGTGCATTGGGTGTTTCTGCTCGTGCACACCTTGCACCTGAGGTCCTTCGCGGGTGAGTTTGGTTTTGTCTCGGTCGACCGGGGCGTCATGTTGGGTTGTCCATGGGAATGACACTTGTTGTTAAAGGAACAGCTTGAGATTCAATGGTTCACAACCTTAATGGTTACACCGGGTCCCCCCTTGATCTCCGCCGATGTCGGGGCTGTTTCGGTGACACCGCGGCCTTCCAACCGGACGACCTTTTGGAGCCACAAACACATTGAGTTCCGTCGGCGTTTTGTGGGAATCTGTGAGCACGGTGGAACGGCCAACTGACTAAATAGAGCCACGAGAAGTCGTTGAATTCATCAACCGGCGACAGCGACAACACCAGCAACTAGAAGAAGCAGAACACACGAGATTTCGGCCGTAGGTTGCCACTCGTAGAGCGCGGCCCTGTCGTTGGTCCGCACTGGGACGCGTGAAGTCTGATAAGGCCAGTTTCCCCCCCGAGAGCCCGCCTCCATTTTACAACCTCCCCATGTTCTGCGCACGCTGCCTCGTCTTTCACGATGTCGTGCACATGTTGTCTTGCCTCCCGTGATTTCGCGAACACGTCATCGTGCCAACCAATACTCTGCCATATCATGCCGTGCAGCCAATGGGACTGGGTATGTTTTGCTGGATGTGGGGGGGGAGGTGCTCCACTGGGGCGGGCAGCTGTTGGTGTCCTACGTGCTGGTCGGACTGGCGTACGGGTGGACGCTCTCTTCGAGAGCGGTGCAGAAGTACGTCCCTGATGATAAGGTGAACCCCGATCTTAGACCCATGTCAGCACGAAGATGTTTTTTCGTGTAGTGCTTTTAGTATTGCCATTGTGTCCAGCACCCTTTTTCTTGGGATACTCATGCACAGCAGACGTGGGGTGTCCTGTACGTTTTCACCGGGAAGAGTTTTGTTGATGGTACTTCATCCACAAGCGTGCTAGGTAGGCGTGGAGTGTCTACCTAAAACCTCACGGTCCTTACCCTTCCCTCGCACCGCGCCCTCCCTCTCGACAAACCGCCGCAGAGCATCGTGTATCTGTTGGCTGGGTGCCTGGGATTCCTGCATCTCATGTTCGTCATCCTCGGGAGGTACGTGCAAGTCTTTTGTATAGTTTCCCGGTCTGGTGGATTTCTTTGCAAGATCCGAGATTTCGTCGCCGAGAGTTTCTCCCCCGTGTGCTAGCCATCGTTGTTCTGTGTTGTCGAAGCGGTGCGTGTACAGTAAGAATTACGAGTTGTGGTCGTTCACTTGCTGCTACTATGAATAGGATGCTCGGCAAACGGTTCCAAGCCGTGGCGGTTGAGCGTGCTACTGTACCTACCCTTCCGCAGGGACGTTTCACGTCTGGAATTTCGGTCGTCACGGAAGATTGGTGTCCGTGGAGTCTTTCATCGAGAAAGTTACCCGCAAATGTAAACTATACTGGTATTATGTGCAGCAGTAATTCCTATCGAACTAAGTTTATGCTGCTGTTGCCGCTGCTGTTGCCGCTGCCACGGTGGCGGCGGTCGGAGTGCGAACACCCCTCCCCAAAATCTCTGATGAAATCGATAAATATATGCATCTCTCTTGAGTTGCCTACCCCGGTGCACGTGTACTCCATATGCTTCCAACGCACGGGGGTGAATCAAATCTGGCGACGTGTGCCTATGTTTCGTACTACAGTATAGTATGGTGAAAATCACAGCGGTGGATTATCGATGTTCACGCATCCACACCCCATCTTGGTACCCAGACGCAAAGCCCCTCTCCATCTTCGTTCCTGCTCCTTCCTCGTACCATTGTTTTCCACCAGGATGAGCGATGACCACCACGCGAAGTCCCACTCCCTGGACTCCGCGCCGGCTTATTTCCTGGTGCTCGTGCGCCTTGCCCTGTTGGGCGTTTTCCTGTTGGGGGCCTTGAAAACCTTCGAGGCCGAGCAGAACTCCGTTAGGAGGGGTTTCATCGGCCGCCTGGTGGTGCTGGGCAGCCTGTGGTTCGCGGCGATGCCGGTGCTGGTGCTCGTGGCGATGATCTGCGCGGAGTACGTACAGGAACCGGTGAGACCGGTGGACACACCCCGTCGTCGCGAGGATATTAACCTTGGTTGTAGTACCAGGTTTGGGTTGGGGGCTAGCGTTACGAACCCCTTCTCTCCTTTTCACATATTAACCATTGTTGGGTCATCACAACTGAACAGCTGTGTCGGCGCCAGGAGTACGCAATGTTGTCACACCTCCTGTGCTCGCTGCTGTGCGTCGTGCTGATGCTGTTGTAGTTTTTTTCTCCGTGAAGTTGCAAGCTGTTGAGAAAACCCATGGTTGAGATGCCTTCTAACTTGTAACCCCTACTCTTCTTGGGGTCAATATACGGTGACCAGGGCCGCAGAAGCCGGTGAAAGCCGACCCGAGAAGCCCGGTTGCGGTTCTCTCCGCTTGAGCCGCCCATAACCGGTATTCGGTGGTCTTGACCAATCAGCGTGGGGCCTCGGGGTCAGTTCCGTTGCGTACCGTTTGTGTCACCCAACCCCCCGGTACAACGACTGCCTTGTGTTGATGTCCACTGATTTTCGTCGCGTGCGCTCTTGATGTCGTCGTCTGGGATTTTTGTCTCCCGTGTGCTTCGACCCCTCCACCAACGTTTCGCCGCCGAACGCCATCGTCGCCCAGGTGGTTACAGTGGGAAGCTTGCTGGCGCAGTCGCTTGGCCTGTCGGTGCTGTCGTGGTTGTTCCTCACTCGAAACGAGTACTACAAGATGTCCAGCCTAGCCCTCACAGGGATGCTCCCGACCAACAATTTCAGGATGGACTGATTCAGGCTGGCTCGCTTCTCCCCTCCACCTAGAGGGCACGTTGCTGTTGTGACGTGGATTGTTCCGTGTGAGATGTACGCGAAAGAGAGGAGGGGGCAAAGGGGTCCCAAGCGGGGAAAATCGTGAAAACAGAGAGAGGGGTGGCAAGGGAAGGAATTATTTCCAAATTCTGCGATATTTTGTTGTAGTGTTTGTGGCGCCGAATCTGCGTTGCCCGGGGTGTAGTCCGAACTCCGAACTGGAGCGAGCGAATACTTACATCGAGCTCAGCTCACGAAGGTAGGCTGGGGAGGGCTTGAGGGCTGGAGAAGCTCAATGTGGCTCCAGCCAAAGCTCGAGGCAGTCTTGAAGGAGTCTTAAAATGTTTGTCGCTTCGAGCTACGCACAACAGTGGCCAAAGACAACCAATTGTCCTTTGTTTCCGCTCTGGTCGTCTTGGTGCCACTGGAGCCAGGGTCTGTGCTCACGCGCCAACCAGGAGTAAGTTTGCGAAGGAGACGAACAATAAACAGGCATTGTGGTGGTTCGGTATTTCACTTTTGCGGTCTCTGTTCTCTGGAGTTACGCACCAGGTAGTCGAGTACCGCTGCCTTCGCCGAAGAGAAATCGGCCAGTCACTTGCGGCAGTATGCGGTGCCATCTTAGAGTGATCAGTGCGCATGATCGCCGGGGTAAGTATGCGGATGCAGATGGATCGTGATTTTTGTAATTACTCATGTGTAGCTATGTGGCATCAGACGAGGAAATTATATCTGTTGTGCCGCACCGGACGCTGCTACAATCTAACACTCCAATTAACAAATAACCTGCAAACTTTGCAAAAGAGATTGAACCAGGCACACAGAGGTGTTAATATGTTTTGAAGCTCGCGAACAGTCGTGACGAGAGGTCCTTGTGGTGCTGGTACCCGGAAGTGTTGTGTTGTTTGTCTTGACGCCATTGATGGCCCCGGCAAATTAATGGAGGTACAGATAGCACCCCCGGCGTGTCTGTGCATATAATTTTACAGCGGTATCAATGGATGCATCATTATGGAAACCTCGTGTGTGCGTCTTACGGACAAACACCAGCTGGAAATTACGTGGATTCATATGAAAGAAAGACTACCCGCGTCTCGGCGTTCCAGGTAGAAAATGGTAAATGCCCACTCTTAAATACAGAGTTGCCCATGCCCCGAGCTTGTTTGTCTGGAAAATGTCGTGTGTGCATCTTGGCAAAATGCTGCACATGCATACAGTCCGTGTTATCCCACGTGCGCCTTTTCCTGTGTCACTGTCTGCTCTCTGTCCTGTGTCATGCCCAACTTGTCACGTCTTGCTGATGGCCCGCAGAATCAACCGCATTCTGTGCGATGTCACCGCGGAGCCCCCTCCCCCCCAGCTCTGGCGCCCGCCATGCTCTCTCCGATTGATTGCCGGTGCTTGCTTGCTCGCACACCACTGCACGCACACCTCTACCGAGAACACTCGAGGAAGTATGGATCCTAGCGCTGCCGAAGGGGAGACGGCATGGCTGGACTTGTCTGGCGATGGGGGTGTGCTGAAAAAGGTGCGTCTTTCATCAGCACGCGCGCCGACGGAGTGTGTGGATTGCGTTGTCCCGCGGCCATTACGTGGCCTCCCTCACCAGCAGGCGGCAGACAGTAATGAAGAGTTGCCTCTCTCCTCTGCCGCTACTACTCAGGAGGGTAGTATGCTGCCCCCTCTTTCCACGCCATTTTCGCTGCTGGGTTTGATCCCATCCGCGTTCACCCTTTGCATATCTTCACCATGGTGTACCGCCCCGTCTTCGCTGTTCTTCTTCAGAACCCGTTTTTCTAGATCCCATCGAGCGCTTCCAAGATCGCGCACTCCAGGCCCCTAAGACCAAATGTACCGGTAGCTCCTCTCAGCTGTCGCCCCCAAGTGTTTTTTCAGCCCACTGGTTGCAAGGGACAGCAGAAGCAAGCATTTGTGCCTGCTGTTGGTGAAAACATTTCGTTCAGTAATTCACTAAGAAAATGTATCGCACGAGGGAGACCGTCCGGAGGACTCGAGTCTCTCTTCGAGGGGGTCCTGTCAGATCCCTGCATTTAGGGAGATGTGGCTCCCCTCCCTCATCCCTTTGCCTTTCCCGCAAGGGAGGGGCTCTAGGCTCTAGACTTCCCCTTCTGTTGTTGCAGGCCGCCGAATGCTTCAACGCAGCATCTCGGTCTTGAACACAAGTCTCAAAAGAATGTGGGCTTTTCGAGCAAGAGGCTCAACAGGGTCAGGAGGCTCTGCAGTCTGGTCTGTTGCGGGCGGTTGTTGCGTTCAAGGTAGCAAGAGTTGATGTTCGAGCGTGGCGCGCAGTTTTACGGAACAGGGAGACCGACTTGGGGACGACCCCCCACTACAACTGTGTGGTTTACAGCAGTACCACGATGACACTAGTTTTAGTGGCGGAAGGTCTTTTTACATCCATTGTATCCGCATACGAAGTATGGCGGTGTACACTGTACCGGCCATGTTGAAGCCCTCCTTGGGTGGGGTGTACACGTGAACATTAACATGCGTGTCATAGGAGGGAGTTGCTCAGCAGCTGCCAGAACAAAACAACTGCTGGGAGCAGCCAATAAGGCGACTGCTTTCCCTTGGTGTCAAGTGGAGACATGATCTTCTCACAGCAGGCTTGAAGAAACAACGAGCCGACTAGCATTAGAGAACACATCGTAGCAAGTGCGTAAACCTACCCGCAGGTCACCAGGTAGCATGTCCCGTACACGGGCAAGTAACAGCTGTCGATTCAACATTAGAGAAAAACCATCGTAGCAAGTGTGTACACGTAACCTGCCCGCAGGTCACCAGGTGCCTTGTTCCGTGCACGGTCAACAGCTGTCGATTTAACATAAAAGAGAAAAACCATCGTAGCAAGTGTGTACACCTAACCTATCCGCAGGTCACCAGGTAGCATGTCCCGTACACGGGCAAGTAACAGCTGTCGATTCAACATTAGAGAAAAACCATCGTAGCAAGTGTGTACACGTAACCTGCCCGCAGGTCACCAGATGTGTTTCGTGCACGTCAACAGCTGTCAATTTAACATAAGGGAAAAACCATCGTAGCAAGTGTGTACACCTTACCTATNTCCGCAGGTCACCAGGTAGCATGTCCCGTACACGGGCAAGTAACAGCTGTCGATTCAACATTAGAGAAAAACCATCGTAGCAAGTGTGTACACGTAACCTGCCCGCAGGTCACCAGATGTGTTTCGTGCACGTCAACAGCTGTCAATTTAACATAAGGGAAAAACCATCGTAGCAAGTGTGTACACCTTACCTATCCGCAGGTCACCAGGTAGCATGTGCCGTACACGGCCAAGTAACAGCTGTCGATTTAACATAAGAGAAAACCATCGTAGCAAGTGTGTACACGTAACCTGCCCGCAGGTCACCAGGTGTGTTCCGTGCACGGTCAACAGCTGTCGATTTAGCAAAAGAGAAAAACCATCGTAGCAAGTGGGTACACCTAATCTGCCCGCAGGTCACCAGGTAGCATGTGCCGTACACGGCCAAGTAACAGCTGTCGATTAGACATAAAGAAAAACCATGTCCTGTACACGACCAAGAAACAGCAGCTGTCGATCATCAGACTGATTGTTGATGGCACCAAAACTGAGGCAACGAGAAGTATGCATGCAGGCGCGGAGGAGGAAGCAGGAAGGGATGGTTGCCATCGTTCCTGACCTGGTGCCCCTCCCGTCCGCACTTCGTCAGCCACGCCGCGGTCAATACGATGGCTGCACGGAGCTCGTACGAAGGGAGAGTGGAGTCTCTTTTCCACGGGGCGTTCCGAGAAGGAGCTAAACGCGTTGCACATGAGCTGCCGTACACAACAAATCCTGCTCACTACCCTGGTCTCCACCTCAGACCTACCAACCCGCTCCTCCAGCCTTTTGGCCCTGCCATTCTTCCCTTTCTTCCCCTCGCTGCCTCTGCAAGGTTGTGCGTAGGCATGACCCATAGCGAGGGGGGGGGTCTTTCTAGCGAGCAGGGCTAGACTCACCCTAATGGGACCGATACCTTCTTGCTGCGGCGCACCCGCCGCGAGGCGTGCGTAGTGGTGGAGTTGGGTCGGCACTGGTGCGCCAGGTACAAAGGTGCAGATGCGCGGGCCTTCAGGCCGTCGGTGTAGGCAGCAATGCCCATCTCATCCTTGTGCGCGGAGGCAGACGTCATCAGAAAGGTGGACGGGCACTATGCACACGGCCCTAGGTTTGCTAGAGGGAGCTGTACTGTCTCAGTGACCTNCATCGAACCGTGGCGCAAGGACAAACATCTCTTGTGTTGTCAATTATTTTTCCGTTTTTTCCTNCGAGTTTGGTCGTGCTAGGACTGGCCACAGCGGCACCGGAGCAGCGGAACTGGAACAGCGGAACTGGAGCAGCGGAACCGGAGCAGGCGGACGGCATCGAACCGTGGCGCAAGGACAAACATCTCTTGTGTTGTCAATTATTTTTCCGTTTTTTCCTTGAATACAGGTGTTGGGTGTGTGTGATGACGTCACTGGTTTTGTAGAGAGACGCGGCAGAGATTGCGCGGATAACCCGGGTGCCTTGATTGTACCTGCATCGTGGAAGACCCCTTCAATGTGGAACGATTCCTAGTCAGTGTCGATGTTTACACTGCTGTGCCTAACACAGATGATCTGGATAGATTCGGGTAATTGTCAATTGCAATGATGGCTTTGGTTGGGTGTTCTTCATTGTATGTCCACGGACTCATTCTGACAGCACTTCAGACAGCAGCTGCATGCCCCGAGCTTGTGTACCATGCACCATGGTGTTATTATTGTACAGACAGCACTTCAGACAGCAGTACGCTGTAGTAGTCGACATTCATTGTGGTTAAATGCGGGACAAGGGGGGTGATGCTGCTGCTGTAGTCGATTTGTAGTGTGTGGGCGTGTAGTTCAGTTGTGAGCATGCAAACGTGCTGCAGGGATTGAAGGAGTACCTCCTCGGGCTTGCGTACCCTTTTCTTGCTAATAGTGTTGTGTGTTATTTAGATCTTCTGATGGCTCTAGCATTTTTGTGACCACGGACCGAGTCTTTGCTAGATTTTGGGATTAGCAACTGACACGAGTTAAATGTGAAGAAAAACAACAAACAACAACAACAACAACAACAACAACAACAACAACAACAACAACAACTTCCCTCTCCCGCCGCGGGTGTCGAAGAGCGCATGGTCAGCCTATGTCATGCTCCAGCGCACGGTACCCGAGCAGCTGTTCGTGGAGTGTCAGCTATGTTGTGTAACTGCATAGTCTAGTGCGTGTGCGGCTGGGTGGCGTGCGTGGGTGCTAGCCGTACGGAACGCATAGGAGAGACGGGAGGAAGAAGACGGAAAAAAAGGAGATGTTTGCCGGTGTCGGAACACACACCATGACCCCAGGGCCCAGGATCCTCAGACACGTAAAACCTACGGGTGCAGGCCATACACTGATCGGTTTGGGGGAGATACGAATGTATCCCGGCCGATATTTACCCCCGCTCTTGAAAAAAAAAAAGCTGAACAAATGATTCTGCTCAACCTTTTTGACTAAACGCGTAAATTTATGAGAGGTTTAATGTGTCTACAATATGAAGTAGTTCTGAGGCAAGTCTCTCGGACTGTTGTTGCATGTTGATACGTATTTTCGGACAATTACCAGTGGCACCGTTCCCAAGCACCACGGAGCAAACCTCATCCCTCAGGAAATGTACTTGTACACAGTCCTGCAGCTTGTGCAGCAGCCGCTCCTGCAGCTGTGCAGCAGCAGTCGTGCAGCTGTGCAGCAGTCTTGCACCTGTGCGACGGCTACAGCAGCTGTGAAACGGCAACAGCAGCAGAAGTGGGGGGGTGGTTCTGTAACGGAACGTGCTGTCCCGCGGCGACTCAAGTTGTTGGGCGAGGAACTATGAGCTTCCTACTATGACCGACTGCAACATGTCGAATTATCGTGAATCCCGGAAATAGGCATACATGCGTCTTTTGGGTCTGTGCCCGTGTGTGTGCCCCGTGGCAACAGGTAGACAGTGGAGAGAACCCTCTTCGAGAATGTACCATTGCTGATCTCCGCAGAGCTACAATTTCACTTGGTAGTTTCACCGAGGAAGCCCTGCAGAATCGTGAATCGTTGACAGGAAGGAGTGGCAAATCGTTAGCGTGCGTTCCCCCCTATCGTGAGCTGATCGTGAGCTGTCGATGGAACAACATGTGCCACGCACCGGTCATGCTCCCCCCCCCTTGAACTTTCCGCAACGGACGCACTGCACCCTACAATGTTGCCAAGGCTCGTCGCTTCCTCACGGCGGCTCTCCCTTTACACCAGCACTGCTGCCATGTACTTGGTTGAAGAACCTAAGATGGTGCACGTCGCTCACTGAGTCCGTGCTTGACGCGCATGGCGAACACGCGCTCTCTTGCTACGCAACCCTTGCTCTTAACCCGGCGCCGCTCTGGTTCTACCCCACCACCACCGCCCCGCTAAACAGATCCTGGAGACGGGTGATGATGAGCGAGGCAACCCTCCCCCGGAGTATGAGGTGTCTGCCCACTACACGGGTACCATCGAGAGCGGCGAAAAGTTCGACTCTTCACGAGACAGGCAAGGACCTGCTGTCTGTCCTACTACCTTTGATCCCCAAACAGGAAGGACAGGATGCACTCAAGTTTTTTATAGCACTGTTGCAGAACTGCGACAAGACACACAGTAAGAAGCAGCCGCTCGGTAGTGAAGACATCCTGGATGTCTGCGAATCATTGACAAAGACAACACCCCGGGGATGTTCCAAACGCGAGCGCGAACGTTCCAAGGTACGAGGCATGCCCTAGGATAAGGGTTTTCTTGTTGCCGAAGAGGCGCGATATTGGTGTTGTATGCACTCCTCCCTGGAGGTTTGTCGTCATGACGTCTGATTTCGAGGTGCTGTGGACGAGATATTATGTGTGTTCTTGTAGCTATTGTTGGGATCATGCGCCTCTTGTGCCGGGGACGCTAGGTGGATTTCTGTTGGGGGCGTGGGCGCTTGCATACATTGTTTTCTTAGCACGCGACATGCCTGCTCGTACCCACCCGTTGTGTGCGCGATAGCTCGCGGCCTGAACCCTTCTTTGCAGCGTGGATTCTTGCTACTAGCTCAGACCTCTGCCCGACACACAGGCGTAGCAGTTATTAGGATCCCTGCTGATCCTCTGAGGTATCATGCAGAGAAGAAATGTCGTCGCGCCTGTAGAGAAATCGACGATCCTCGGGAATTACTCGTATTGAGTTCGTGCGGAACTGATACAGCTGATTGCGACGACGTTGGAAGCTGAATTATCAAATAGTGAATCCCACGATCAATTAGACCCGCCCCTTTGTAGCCCCCCCCCCCCGTTCTAAAGATCCTCTCGAACCACCTTGTTGGCTTCGAACAGGGGAAAGCCCTTCACCTTTCAAATCGGAACGGGCGCCGTGATCAAGGCCTGGGACATTGGTAAGCACGGTGACGTTCGCGCAGGACTTGTGTTGGATGATACGTGATGGCCTTTACAGATTGGAGCAGTTTGTTTTTTATCATTCGGTCGATGTTTACGGCCCGCATAGCCGACGAAGTGTCATGTTAGCACAGAGACCAGCTCTTGTGATGTTCGGGTATCGGGAAGCCGTGGCTGTTAACCTTTGTGTTGGTGGGATTGGCTCTCAGCTACAGCACATGAGAGATGGGGAGATATGAGGACATTCGTCAGTGTTGCACGATAGAGAGAGACACACATACACACAGAAAAGGGCGGAGGGGCAAAAATCCAGGGGGATCGAGAGACAAGAAACAGGAACGGAGGAATCCAAAAAAGATAGCGCAGGACAGAGATTGAGATTGCAACGAATCACTCGCGAAGGTGGTGTGGTTCTGTGTTGGGAATCCTTAATTTGTATTCAAGGCTAGCAACGAAGCCTCTGTTCGTTTCTCGGCAGGCAACAGTCGAGGAACGAACAGAGGGTTCGTTTTGTGGCCTCTTGTTTCGACCGCTGTGCGAAAATGGGTATCGGTATACCTACCTATGCCAACACAATGTGCGAACACCTGTGTTTTGTTCGGCGGTCTTGTCATCCCTCCAGGCTTCTCTAGCATGACCATCGGGGAGAAGGCGATTCTGAAGTGCCGCGCCGACTATGCCTATGGGGACAGCCCCCCGGTGAGTTGCCGGTAGCAAACGTATTTTGTTCCAATGCATTAGCCCATCAGATTTCGCCAGGTTGTTTACGGGGCTCTCCATGTCGTTCTTGGCGTGTGTGGGCTGGGCGTTTTGTTTCCTTTGTGTACGTGAAGTTGCGGAGCTGGCCCAGCAACCCTCTCTCTGACACGATGATGCACCGTCACACAGGACACCACTCTCCTAGGAAATGTTTGTCGGGGACGACATCCCCATGACGTCCGCTTTGACGGCTTTGCTCCCTTTTGAACTCGAAACGTGTTTTCAGCTAGAACGTCTCAAATCAAGCAGTACTCTGCTGTTTTGTAGCAGAATATTCTAGCCATCTGCGCGGAAAACACCTCACGGGTGTGTTTTTTAGAGTTTTCACGCATTTGTCCTCGGGGTGTGGTATACTATACCATCACGTACGGTAGGCGGTGCTACTCGGTGAGTATTGCGTCAACAGAGCTTCTTTCTACATTGATCGTGTTGTGACTCGTTTGTTCCGCTACTGCTGTATGTGTCGATAGCGTGAGCTATATGCCTCAACCACCACAGCACATCATCTGACTTGTTGGACACGAGCACTGGTGTGATCAATCACCGTGATTATTTTGCCCGCGGGCGTGTGGCCTACTCCCTGCCCATTTGACGAGTTATGTTATGGTGCGCACTTGCTCCGTTGGTGTTGCAGGGCAGCGGCGTGATTAAGCCGGGAGACACCTTGCTGTTTGACGTCGAGCTGCTGGGCTTTCACGAGAAGGCCAAGGAGAAGTGGGAGATGTCCGCCGCAGAGCTCATGGAAGAGGCCATGAAGATCAAGGTAGATTGGATGTGTTGTTTTTCAGTCTGACAGATCAGGATCCAATCCGACCACAATAAACGGTTCTGTCCTAGGAAATGTTTTCGGAGGAGGCATCGCTGCACGGGCTGCCTTTGGGCAGCTCGTCTAACCGTGCATGTATGGCGGGAAACTATCGTGGGGGGGGCGGGGGGGGGGGGGGGA